CTCAGCATTTAATTGCACCCTAGGCCAAATGGACCTAACAGATATATAGAGAGCATTACATCCAACAGCTGCTGAATACACATTTTTTATCAGCACAGAGAATATTATTGATATTCAAGGTAGATCATATGATAGACCAAAAAAATAAGTCTTAACACATTTTTTAAAATTGAGATTATGCTGAGTATCTTTGCTGACAAATATAAAGCTAGAAATCAATAACAAAATACTTTATAATTATGCAAATACATAGGAATCAATGTATCATTGAACATCTAATAGATAAAGGAAAAATCAATAAGGTAATGAAATGGTTTTTCTGAAAGATGTGGGTGGAAACATAGACACAACGTACCAAAACCTATGGGAAGCAGGAAAATCCAAGCAAAAAAGGACATTTGTAGCAATTTAAAAAGTAAAAAGACATGAAACAATCTATCACTGCATCTCAATGTGATAACAAAAACCCAACAAATTAAACCCAAAGTTATTAGAATAAATAACAAGAGAGCAAAAAATCTAAACTAAAACCAAATAATATGAAAGACCAATGAATCAAAGAACTGGCTCTTCCAATTGGAAGAAAAGAAAGGACAAACAGAATCAGAGACAAAAAGGGAAACAGAATTAACACCACAGAAAAATTCATTAGAAATTATTAAGAAAACATGCAAAGAAATTGCTACTCTAGAAGAAATTTACAAATTACTAGATAAATAAACTTTGTCAAAACTGAATCAGGAAAAATTTGAAATCCTGAACAGGCAAACAAAAAAAAATGAGATTTAATCAACTGGAAAAAGCCTGTCACAAAAAGTCCAGAACCAGATGGCTCCACCACTAAGTTCAACTGAACATTTAAAGAAAAAACACCAGTTCTCAATTTATCCCCATCCCCCCAAAGGAAGCAATTCTTCTGAATACATTCTATGTAGCCAGCATCACTTTGACACCAATAATACATAAAACCATAACAAAAAATAAATAAATGAAAACGAAAGAAAGCTACGAAATACTCTTGGTGAACAAAACTCAACAAAACAGCACAAAATCTAATGCAAAAGTACATTTAAAACGATTATTCACAGGGCTGGAAATATGCCTTTTTTCGATGCAAAAGCAATGAGTCTTTCATTGCAGCTGTTTAACTAGATAACCCCATTAGCTGCGGCCTTTCATCCACCCACCATGGCAGATGGCTGGGGAAAGACCCCTAGAAACCACGGGACAGAGATCTTGTAGGGCAGCATAAGGGGAGTGTCTAGGGGTACGCACAGTCTCAGGATTGGTGTGCCTCCAGGCTTGGAGGACTTGCCCTGTGTTGATTGGTCAACTGGTTATGGCCCATAGGTCCTCCCAGGGCAGTTGCTATTCTCTGCATGTCACTGCTGTGCACTTGTCGGTAAAGCACACCCAGAGCAGTAAAGCACAGCCCCGCTAACTAACCTCCGATTGGTTCCTTGCCATGAGGCAGGCATCTGACCTCCTAGTGACCAAGGCAAGGTCAGGCAAGCACACATTAGGCTGTTATGGCTGCCAAAATGGGGGTCCCTTCATTCTCCCCTTCTCAAAGTACCCATGAAAGGACTCAGTCTTGAGTCCTGCCTATTAGGGGCTCAAATGGGTGTTAACAGGCCCTGTAATTAGCTGACCGATTTTTCTAAGGGAGTGACATTGGCATCCCCTATGTAAGGGAGTTTCTTTTGACTTAGCATTTCAACCATGGCACATGGCAGAGGAACTCCTGTTCCACACACAAAGTGCTCAGAGCAGCAAGAAAAGACCCCTGACCCATGCATGCCACGTGCTTGGGCAGTAAGGACAGAGAGAGACACTGTTGGAGTCCAGAGCAGCAGCTGTTCTGAAAGACCTCCAGAGTCAGGACAAAGAGAGGCTTGACAAACACACAGCACAAATGTGAAACTTGGACAGATAGCACAGTATGTCTTAGCAGTTAAAAGTATTGGCCACCCTTGCAGAGAACCAGGGTCGATTTCCAGCACCCACATGGAAGCTCACAACCATCTGTAACTCTAGTTCCAGGGCATCTGACACCCTCTTCAGACCTCCAAGAGCACCCAACACACACTATATGCAGACAAAATATCCATGCACATAAAATAGTAATAAAAAATTGTAAATATTATTCACCATTACTAAATAGGATTCATTCAAGAATGCAGAGATGGTCCAATATACACAGATCATTGTACACAATAAACAACACCCACAGATTAAAAAATAAAAAACTACATGTTAATCTCAATTGATAAGGAAAAATTACCCAATAAAATTCAGCATCTTTCATTATAAAAATGCTGAACAAATTAGGTATACAAGTAATACACTTTAACATGATTAGGGCCATTTTGGAACAAGCCAACAGCTAATATTATATTGAAGTGGAAAAATTTGGAAGCTTTTCTATGAGATCTGAAACAAAAATACATACTTTCATTTTTTCATTTTTATTACGCATAGTGCTTGAGGACCTAGCCAGAACAATCAGGAATAAGGGAGAAAATGTTATCCAAATTGGAAAACAAGTCAAACTGCCTTTTATAGATCAGTTAAAATTGTAAGTAATAAATGAATTCATTAAAATTGTAGGATATAAAATTAGTGTACAAAATGGTAATGTTGTTATATAGTGTTACTCACACTTTTCATTGCTTCAACAACTATCTGATGGGGAAAGGAGGGGAAGATTTATTCTGTCACATAAATACAGAGGTTTCTCCATTCCATAATGGTGGGGGTAGAGTAGCAGTGCAGAGCAGCTCACATCACATTGAGATGGCCAGGAAAATGAGAGAGAAAAGAGAAGAGGAAAGAAGAGGAGGAGAGGGGGAATGGGAGGAGAGAGAAGAAGAGGTGAAATTTTCTTAGAAGATACTCAGTTTATTAACAACCATTGGGTGGTGCTGTACATACTCAGGGCTGGTTTTTCTCCTAGTCATCCCTGCCTGAAAATACCCTTCAGACTCACTCTGAAGTATGTTTCATTAATCTCCTAAGCAATTCTCAAACCAATCAAATTGACAATAAAAATTATCACATACTAACTGCAAATTAGTTAAGAGGACTTGAATTTCAGTTCCAAGGACCCACATTGGGTGCCTACTACTCCAGCTCTTGAGGAACTTCCAGCCTCCTCCAGCACCTACACATATGTGCCATTCACTCTCAGAGATACACACATACACATAAAGAATAACAAAAATTTAAAATACCAATGACATTCTTCACAAATTTCAAAAAAATTCCAGATTTTATATGGAACCACAAAAAGAATAGGACAAGCGACTTTTTGCAAAAGGAAGAAAGCAGGAAGTGTAATGCTGCCCAAATTTGAAAAGTTGATAATCAAAATACCATAGTGTTGTTATAAATACCAACACATACATCAATAGAACAAAAGAGAGCTGAAAAGTAAACCCTTGCATCTGAAGCCAAATGATTTAACAAAGATAGTAAGGACACACAGAGAAAAAAGGATATTTTTCAATAAATAGTGCTGAAATAGTAGATATTCAAATGCAGAAAAATGAAACTAGTCTCCAGTTTCTCACACATTACAGGGATCAACTCAAAATTATTAAATACTGACATGAAGTACCTTAAATTATTAATCTCCTTGAAGAAAATACAGAGAAAATGCTTCAGAACATTGCAATGAGCCATGTTTTTTTTTTCTTTAAAGCCTCCAAAAGAACAGGAAACAAAAATAAAAACAGACAAATCAGTTATGAAAAATTAAAAAGGACTTCATAAAAAAGGAAATACTCAACAGAGTGCAAAGACAGTCTACAGAATAGGAAAAATATTTATAACACATACATCTGACAAAGAATAGATATTCAAAACACAGGAGGAGTTACAGAAACTCAATAGCAAAATAAAAATCACTCAAAAAATAAGCATTAACTCTAAACAGATGTGTCTCAAAATACATGCAGTCATGAAAGCAGTATGAAAATATTCAATATCATTAATCATAAAGAAAATGCAAATCACAATAGAATATCACCTCATCAAAGTAGGAAGGACTATTATAAAAAAGATAAAGAGATACTTAACCTAGCCGAGGAGATACTATGGTCAATATCATGGTCTACCCAGGTGAGGTTTATTCATTGCACTCAGGATGTGCTGACCCCTGTGATTTCCCCAAACGTGGGGAAACGCAACTGCATAATCTGTGGTAATGATTTGTGGTAATGGGAGCACTGAGTTTGCGCTCGGGGGGGGCAGAGGGGATGGAGGTGAAGAAGACTAAAGGTAACAAGTGCCTGTGCAGATGTAGAGAAAAGCAACCCTTGCACACTGTTGGTTACAATATAAATTAGGAGAACTAGTAGGGAAAACAATATGAATGGTCTTTAAATAATGAGTTGGAAATGGAGAGATGTCTATGATACTTTGTTATTTGCACAAAAGTATCATATTAGAAGCTAATTTTTGTCTTTTTTTAAAGAAAGAAATAGCAATAAATACCATGCATATGCATGAATGATATTTGCATGTTTGTCTAAGTATAGAAACATGAAAACAATTATTTGATTACGGACCTTTTGTATTGTTTTTCTAGCTTTCATGAAAATGAATTATATTTGCAATTCTAATGTCAGAGAAATATTTAAATTAAGAGAGTGTTTGATGTAATTAAGAAGGGAATACAATAGTATCCTGTCCGTTTTTTTATGCGCTCCTCTTACAAACAGTGTGGTGGAGCTTGTGTCGCATCTACTCGAAGAATTACAGTAACCCCGTTTTTGGTGATGAGTCAGAGTGCGTGGTGCTGATGCTGCTGCCATTTCATCACCTTTGCTCTCTCAGCATTCATCCCT